GTTTCTTAATTTTCGATCGAGTTTAAAATTAAATTTCTTTTTATAGTAATCAATTCTTTTTACAAGACATCGTCTAATCTTACAGCATTTTAAATATTATTTAATTATCATTTTATATTTCCATACTTGCTCAATATGAACCCTTCATTATTTGTAGTCATTAATTTTATTATAAAAACATTGGTAGCACAGATCCACGCCATGTATTTCAAATGGTGTGACGCAAATAATTCGTTCTGTTCATAACGAAGTCGAATAATATCTCCATGTAAATATCTTACCGATGAGTGTTGGTTTAAAATTAGCTGTAACTGGTGGGAACAGGTGCACCGACCAGCTAGCTCACTGATGGTCACCATGCTTCATGAAGACTGTCGCCTAGACGTAGCGGCACTATTGTTATTATGGTTATTTTATTTCAAAACCATAATCGAAATTTTATTTAATATAATGAAATCTAAGACTTTTAAATGAAACTAATATTATTCGGGTTATGAACCTGAACCGACTGAAAATTGCCAACAAAATACGCCGGTTGGAGCACCTCGAGAGGAAGAATACAAAATTATTACTATCCTTGAATTTCCTCAAGAGATGCCGGGATCATGACATACGCGTAATAATCCGAATAATATTAGTTTCATTTCTATTTAATATATCTGTATCTTCTTGGATTCCTTTAAATGAATTATTTATTATATTTCTAAACGTATTGTTTCCATGTTCTGTGTTTCTGAACGCTTCCTATTCATTTTGGATGTCATCTTCTGGAACACTTCCAGAGTATACTGGTCATTCATGGTCGACTCGCGGGTGTCACAATTAATACGTGACCGAAGATACGTAAATGGAATAATTGACGTTGAAGTCTGGATATTATTTATATGTTTTAGACATATTTTTTACACCTATTATATTTTCAGGAATCATTTTCTAAATATTTATAAATGTTTGTGGTTAAAAAAGTTTTAGCAAACTTCGTCTGTAAGTTTGATAGAAAGAATAAAGATATTTAAACGTGTCTATACTATGTTACTAGGTCGTCACAGCTGTAAACGAATATGTTTTTCAGTTATGCCTGAAATATCTCATCTTTTGTCGTCATTGCATAACAAAAAAAAACCTTACTTTCTTCTTAAGTAATATAAAAAAAAATATTTACAACAAAAGTACCTAATTCAAAATGAATTTAAATAGAGCATAAACAATTATAATATCTTAAAATGATAATTGTATTCTGAGAAAATTAGTCTATAGACAAAGTGTGTTTTAAAGAATAAATATGTTTTTTTCTAAATTTCATACTGTCATTTTGACTTTTAAACAAGACTTTTTGACTTTTGAACAAGATACATTTGATTTTATTTTTATTTATCCCTCCCTGATAACAAAAATAAAACAGCTAGCATTTATACCTGTCAGTAGGGAGACTCAACCTAATCCATAATTTTATTTTCATGTGTGAGTTAAAGTGCACGTCACATCCCTAATATTTTTTCGTCTGGCCTATTTTTCAAGTTACTAAAGTTAAATCTGACTGAAGAGATGTTAAATTATATGACTGAAACACTTATTTCATTTACATTATTTTAAAAATAAACATTCAAGGCCTCTCTATCTTTCAATATAATTGATAATACAATAGCAACGATCTCTTTCGAGATGTTCGACTTTCAGACAGCTGGTATCGATTATAATAAAAAGTGTTTTGATGAAGTTTTGGTTAAAAAAGTCAAATACTAAAATGAATACTGATTGTTACACAAAAAGATGAACATCTAAAAACAACGTCAACTGGATCAAAAAACAAAATAACTCATCGGACACTGCTTAAAATATATATCGTATGATAAACAAGTTTTTCACTAGCATGTAAATAGTACTTTTCTTCTGCCAAATACATTTTTCTACTAAATACCTTCTTACGTAGGCAATATATATTAAAGAATAAATGAACATCGTCGGGGCACCATCGTTATATGGAAAAATATCATATAACGAGTGACGCCGCTGACTCTGCGGAACTAACACCAAGCCGTGTGAATCAGAAGATTCCTGATACCACACAAGCTATGGAATGGCATTGTTATCCTAACATCAGTGCAATCATGTAGTCTTAATATGTATAGGTTATATAGAAGTAAATTGCGTAGTTTTCCTGGAACCTCTGAGTGTCACCCTACTTAATTACCTTCTTCAAAGCAGAAGCTTCATAGAAAATTAGCGAAACAAGTACGCCTCTCGACAGTTTGCAATTCAATTAATTAATTTACGCTTATTTTAACAGCACCTGCTATAGCAAATTGGAAGAATAATTCTATCTTGACAAATTTTCGTTATAATTTCATAATTACTCTGTAAGGCTAATGGTATATGTTTTGATAAATTGCTGAATGGTTTCACCAACATATCCAAGGAAATTGCAAGGTCAATGCTGGAATCTCAGTGGATTCTTGGCGTTCGATTCAAGATTACTCGTATTTTGAGCGTTAAATTCGATCGTTTGTTTGATATTTTTAGAACTTTATTCGGCCCAAAGTATGCTGCAGTTCGGCTCAGAGTTTGAAATATTCATAATGCTTCATAATTTGAGCTTCACTTTTCTTACATACTTATACATAGAGTTTAGTTGTTTTATACTATAAATATCTATCGTATTAATCTTCGCTTATAAATAACCCACCAACCTCGCGCCTACACTATGTCTAAATAGTGTCGTATACACAGACTGTGCAATATTAGAAGTGATTTGCATTTCAAACTACATATTATAATAGTTTAAGTCGGATATTCTCTGTAATTCTATAAAGTTTAACCAGGTCGATATATGAAAATAGCGTATTTGGCGCAAACGTAAGTGATTCATGGTATGAGCGTCAGCAAATTCATCTGAATACTGATGAAAGATATAGATTTAGATGTAGATTTAGATAACTGCTTGTAGAATACAAGAGGTATGCCATCCCTGTATTGATAGGACGCTATCTATAGATATACTTTAAGCCTTACAAAACAAATGAATTGTACCACACACTTATTGTTAATGTTACATAAAAATATCTTCTATATATGTAGGTCAGATATATGTATTGGAGAAAATTAAGGGTGAATTAATCTAGACTTTCTGAAGTCAAAACTAATGTAAACTTCAGTAGGTGTTAGGATAATTATTTAGATATTGGTTTAAGAAAATATACTAGTATTATGAAAAAAAAAATTATGATCATATTATTTTTTATAAATAATGTTAAGTCTTAGTACCTCTTACGAAATTTCAATTGTTGTAAAAAATGTTATTGAATTATTTTTTTAATAAATCCCACAACAAACACAAGACAATTCTTCAGTTGTTTGTCGCGACTTTATTGTGAAGTCAGCCTTGTATTAGTGACGTTGGATTCACCCACATCTTACTTCCTGGTACCAACCAACCTTTGCCATAAATAAATACACCCATCGTCTGTACCCTTAGTAAGATGTTACATCATTAAACTGTACACTGAAAGTAGACTTTGATTTTTTTTCAATTTAAATGTCACTACTATATAAAAAATATCATTTTTATTAGGTTGTTGAAGTCGTTGTGACTGTCAGTATTTAGTACGTTGAGAACTCTTACTTATGACTTTTTATTATTTTATTTTTCATAAATCTATCACCAATTCCACCTCTAGAATATTTCGAATCTTCTGCTAATAAGCATTCTACGAATTTTATTTGGAATAATGTAGATGTAATAACTGTATTTTTACTTATCATTTCAATTTCTAGAATTAAATAAGTATATTTAGTGTCTCTCGTATCGTATTTGGGTTATCAACCAGCAGACGAGTGACTAATACATTATAAGATGCGTTTACATTGCACGAGAGGAGCGGATAAATCAGTAACGGCGGAAACTGGCAGTTAAAACGCGATTTATAATATGAAGAACAAATTGAATGTAATAAAATATATATGTATATAAAGCACAATGAATAAATTCGCATTACTATAAAGTATACGCTTATCTTGTTAGTGTAATCAGTAGTTAATGAGTTATCTGGCAAGAGACGCGACGCGATGTATGTGATTCTATTTAAGTAATAAAAGCGTCCTCATATATTATTTTATCCTTTCAAAATGTCACATACATTGAAAAATCATAAACATCCCTCTAATACTTCAGAGTTACAGAATGTGTTTACTCAAATACAAATTTAATTCTACATTTTTAATAAAATACCCGACATTTGAACATTTAAGTAGAAAATATAATTTAAATTTACGTTGACAACGTAGATCCAGCCAAAAATCTCACACTACTAAGAGCCACGTAAGCTTGACCTTCCTCAAATAGTTTTGCAACTTAGTATACGACTGAGTGATCTACAGTTTTATCCAGCATTTTTGTACCGAGGAAACCGGTGACAATTTTTATAATTATAGACTTATAATTTCACAATTATAAGTTTGAAATCACCAACCCGTGTTGAGCAAGCGTGGTGATTAATGCTCAAACCTTCTCCATGTGAGAAGAGGCCTTACAGGAGTGGGCTCTGATAGGCTGATGATGATGATCAGGGGGTTCATAAAGTTTACAAAAGTCAACCGTTATGGAAAATAACTTTAAAAAATACTCCCTCATTAGAATATTTTCATCATGAACATAATTTAAATTGCTACCTAGCAAGAAAGTATTCCTTGACCGTCCTTTAATTCTATAATACACAAATAATAGACTGTAAGTAAAAATTTTAAAGTTATCACTAGTGATTCAATAGAATATTCTCGTGCTAGTTATGGAAACACCTTCATCAATCATCAGATGAAAAAACGAAACAAAAACTATCAAAGGAAATAAAACACAAAAAACTGAAACGGATACATTTATCAATGCACACGCATTTTTATTAATATAAATAAAAATTACAAAATAAATAGAAGCATATGAACTTGATAAGGTTCTTTACAATATATAAATTAGTATTATAATTTAATTTTTCGTTGTTCTTTTACATCTATTTTTCTGCGTCTACTTTCTTCGTGACGTCTTTAACATTCTTCTTACATATCAAAGGTTCGAGCATGATCCAGATCTTGCCGATGATATTTATCAAACCAATCACAGACAGACCCAAAAGAAAACCCTGAAATAAATAACGCATTCACATTCACTTCTTATCTCGTCTTAATCACGGTTGCTGCAAAGTAAACAAAACGTCGGGAGTATGTACATAGTTTTTACAATAATAAAATACGCGAAGTAATCCGTATATATTAGTTTCATTTAAGGAAAACATTGTTAAATTTAGTTATTACTTCAAACACATGCAATGGGATACAAATTTATTTATATAAATTAAGTAAGCTATATTAATACTATTTTCGTGTAAATGAATTAATTTCATAGTATTAGTTATATATATGTACATATAGATATAAATGTTGATGTCGTAAATTGATGATTATCCCAAATATGACAAGTGGTATTTATGAATCTGAATTATATATAATTTATTTAGAAATCAGAATTACGATATGATGTGAATCATTATATATTGTATTAAATTCAAACCCCTATTAATAAAATTAATAAAATATCGACGCTTCTGGTGTTTTCAAAAAATTAATTCTTTATTAAAAAGTATAACGTACTTATAGAAATTGACTAATAAAATTGCGAAAGGTCGATCCCTACAAGCATATATACATTAAGTATGAGAAAAATGATGCATACATACATACATACTTTCTAACGAAAATAACAGAAAAATGTTTATTTTATGGTTCAGTAAAATAAACGAAATATGATGAATCGGTACTTTACAGTTCAAATATAAACAATTTGGAATACCATCAATATAATATTAGAAAAAAATATTTGTTTTTTTGTTGCTAATTTCTTTGACTTTTTAAGGTCAGACGTAAAAGTATATCTCTTGAAAAAGATATCATAAAACGAGCTAAGTTTATATCATGAAAAGATTATACATTAGATACAAGAGCGGCCAATTGAATCTGACCTACAAGTTCTACTGGATTCAATCTTGCGGAAACATAAATTTTGTTGCAATTCGAAACGGTATCAAAATAAATTGCTTGTAAACGTTAGTATACATTAATTCAACCGTACCACACATTAGCTGGTACACTTTACTGAAGATTTAACAAGACTGTAATTAATAGGAAATCATTTATATTACGACTGAATACCAGTGACTCATAACCTCTAACTGGAGTTATTATTAGACAAGCAAGCTCCCCGTAACCTTCTCTGGCCATACGCCATTATTATCATATGCTAAATTCATAATTCTTTGGTTCTGGATATAATTTTTATGTCTTTAATCCGAAGCAATAACCTCTAACCAAAAAAACCTGCCACATGGTCTTAAATATCTGCTTGGACTATTTACGTTACAACGGATTTGATAGTCATGAAATTTATTGACGTTTAGAATATCATGTTTTATTATAATGACGACAATAATTAAGACTAGTTTTAATAACTGTTTTACTTTTCTTGAGTTTCTTGTTTTTAGTAAGTTATGTCTATTACTTCCTTCTTATATTGATAAACGCTTGATTTATACTATATATTATGGTGTATTTTTTTTTTTGGAAGGATCTAACGGTATAACAAGTACTCACTACTACCAAATATTATTGGGTAGATTAAAAAAATACAAAATAATGTATGACAAAAAACAAAGCATAACATAGCCTTTATCGACCCAGCTGCATATAACAGAACGATTTGCTTGAAGTATCAACTCGTTTTGCCTAAGCCTCCTTTACGAGCAGTGACTAAATATGACAACGGGGATCCAAGAGCTCTTCTAACTTATGTATGCAAAAATCAGCTAATTATTATTTAGTAAAATGTAAACATTTTTATATTAAAATACGATTCTCAATGAGGTTATTAAACAGCACAGAAAAATGTTAAGCAACAGTTAATACCACATTAACACCAAAATATAATAAGTCCTCACTCACCACGCTACCTCCGAGGTCCGCTAAGAACACATTCCAGTCGTAATTATATTTCTCCTCAAACACTGACACCATCATACTGTTGAAGTAGAAATATAGCTGGAACAAGAACCAATTTAATTACAAGTATACTTTTCTTCAAGAAATATATAAATCAATCAATCAGAAATTTATGACAAATGTCATCAAGACAAAATGGCTGCCATGAGCCGCCAAAATCTACTCCCATACTAGATAACTCATTATAATTATTACTCAATCATTAGTATAGATTTCCAGAAAGAGTAAAGGTGAATATAGACTTTAGTATTCGTTATTTAGTTTCAAATTTGTTTGATTTGGTCAAACTGACTTGTGTCTGTAGAGCAGCTTCTGACGTCTTCTTGGTGTCCCAGAAGTAGAACTTCTGTCTATCAGTGACATACACGTTATAGAGATATGAATGACACAGGCGAGGGCAGGTACTGTTGTGGTTTCTGTACAACCTGAACAAATATAAATAAATATACCCTGGAGTTTAAAATAATTTTTTCAAAGACAGTTTTAATTTACAACAATAATAAAAAACATTCCAGTAAGCTATTAAAACTTCCTTATTGATTCTGCATATGTTCTAAATATCCCGGCCAACGTTACTTTAAAGAATATTAAGAGAATCTAGGTGATAGTGAATCTTACGAGGAATAAGTGGAAATAAGATTTCTCATGTCTTGGAAGTTGTTACAATATGGTCTGTCGCTGTTCATCCAGGGTCCGGAGCAGTTCACTGCCGAAACCACCTCGTCGGAAACGTGTTGAGTTGTACACTGAAAGAAATAAAGAGATTGATATTGATATATACATTTATGAAGCACAATTAAATAATTGCTAATAGAGCAGTAACTGACTGTATCTGCAATATAATTTGGTTTTCCTGCAGCTTATGATTAAATATAATCATTAAAATTATCCTAAGAAAAGCTGATAAAAGCCTATTAAACTTCAAAAATTCTTGGATATATGAACAAATAAATTGAAAAAAAAATCATAGGGTTTCATTACTACTCTTTAATATGGTAAACTATAATATTATCGATCGATTATTATTAGTTCTAAAACTACTTAGACATTGATAAAATACATTTTTAACCAAATTGACAAACACTAAACTGCGTCTCATATGACTGGTAATTACATGTTATACTAACAGCACTAGCACTGTAGTTGGCTGTACGAGAACAGGGATCTTCATCATCATTTATCTTGACATACTCGTCGACCTTCAGCTTGGCCGTGAGGGTCTCTCCCGTGTTCACATACAGCTGGTCCACCAGACCACCATTGAACACGTCCACCTCTGAACACACATTAATATGGATAATGGATACAAGAAAATAATGGGTATAGGCCAATTGAAGTGGGAAAAATATTCTAAATGCTGATCTTTTATGTATAATCAAAAAGTCAAGGTTTCAAAGGACTTTTAAATGGAGTTTCCTAAAGTTGCAAACATTATATATTAAAGCAACGTACTTTTCATTTGAAGTGTATTAAATATTGCTAACCTGTAAACGGTTCGCGCATATAGTGAACGAAGACATAGTAACCAGGTGCTTTAAGAGTGATGGGGTTTTCAAGATCAGTTCTGTTATGCTGTACCATTATGGAGTACCCGCTTTCGATAGTGGCCTCGGCTTTCCTTGACAGATCTCGCGGAGAGAGAGTGTAGCAGCGACCGTGCATAAACGTCATAGTTGAAGTCACCTCAACATCTAACAAAATGTATCATGCTTTGAAAGACTCAAGTTATCAAACAAAACTTTTAGTTGCAAATAAAATACTAAATCAAACTTTCTCAGTTCCTAGTAGGAATGAAGTTCATAATTTAGATATTATCAAAGAGAATCTATGTATAAGCATATGTTCTAAAAGAATTTGTATATTATCATTTATTAATTAAAATAAAATGTATCAGTTATTGATAGTCTTGCGAATGTTATTAGTCTTTTAATCAAAATTAATCTTTTTATAATTTTAATGAAAGCTATTTAGCTGGAATTATGGTTTTACTTTTAATTTAATTTATAATGAGAAAAGTTTAAAACGGCAAAAAAATCTCAATGTATAGTGTTAAATCTTACTGTCTCTCAAGGAGTCCAAAGCGTATTGGACAAAGAAATCCTCTTCGTTGTAAGTGATTTCTTCCCAGAGCACGTCCAGGGAGATGCCGGAGAAATTAAAGTTCCTCCACGCTGATGTTATGAGAGGATGAGAATATAGACCGTATTCCTTAAAATATATGATTATAAAGATCTGTTACGTCATATATTTAGTTGTAATATGGATAATATATTTCTATTACTGTTAAAAACAAACCAATTTACACAAAGTTCTTTTTTTTTGGTTTCGGCTTGACAGTTGCTGTTAGCCCTAATGGCTTTGACAGCGTCACCGAGGCCCATCCTGATTTAATTCGGGGTCGAAGAGCATGTCTGGGGATTTTCGCAAAGAGCATCATAAATAAAAATGTCTATTCTACTTACTAACAACTTGTCCTGTTTGTAAGCTGGCTCCCTGCACAGAGTGATGCTAGGATACGTAATGGTTTTATTAAAATCAAAGTGTGTATACGTGGTCACTGGGATGTCTATCAGCTTCTGGATGCACACTGATATCTGTGGGCATATATTTCTAGCACTAACATTATTGAGACCTTATTTGTTGACTTATCAATCATAATTTTATTGTTCCAAGCGACCGTTTCATTTTTGTTCTAAAGTAAATTGTTTATCAGAAAATTTTAACAATAATCGTAATGCAATAAGCTCTATTAGTCAATAATCCTAATCTCAGTATTCTGAACCCTGTCGCTTTTTTCCAACAGCAGTTCAGTAGAGTCCAAGGAATAAAAAAGAAAACTTCCTAATGTTTTAATGCTGTTCTTTAGTTTGTCTGCTGAAGTCTTACCTGTTGCACCACGAGCCCAACACATAGCATCACCAGAACAATCTTGACAGGATTAGAACCTTTCAAGAATCGAGAACATTTGAAACTATCACCTTCAGCCATTTTACGAGTGCTTTGCCACAGAAACTCCCATTACCTGACTTTTAGTGATGGAATTAATTAAGGACGAAGTGATATCTATTATTTATAGACGCTGTTTGACCTGTCCGATAAAAACTAATAAGAGTTTATAATACTATAAAAATATATAACTTTATATTAATTATTTTTTTATTACCAACGTTGTATCTAGTGCTGTTATGCAATTACATATATTTAAAAAATAATAGGTTTACGAAATGTTAGGTAATAAAGTTTTAAGACTATGTTACAAGTGAAGAACTTCAAATATTATTTCTTTGATAATTTAACAAAATGATCAGGATAATATTTTCTGACTCCCTTTAACATATATTATAATTATTGACATCTTCTGTAGAAGCGAATTTTATTTTAAAAAATGTAGTGATAGTATCATTATGCGAATGCGGCGTATCTTCGATTTCGATACTAAGCCAGTTTGAAAATAGAACATCTAAAAAAAGATTTTCAATTACTTCACAAAGTTTTATTTTTGCGCCATCTATCGGAGATTTGCCGCTCACACTTATTTAAGACCAGAACTGATTGGTACTCCATTAATAAATGTACCAATAGATGTCGCTCTACTCAAATCCTGAGAGAAAGTTAAGAAAGTCGTTTGTAAATTTAATTTCCGTCAACTTGTCTTCTTTTCTCTGGAGAGATAAATTTCTTCGGTACATGTCACACAAATGTAGTCGTTTTTCAACTATAATATTATTATCTGACTGCCTTATCTTTAAAATACAAATGTGAACCTATATTTTATGTTATTTCAGTAACAATGTTGTTATACAATTATATTTTTTCTCTACCTTTAACAATTAATACCAAAATAAAGCAAGCAATAACTATTTTTAAGTATTAGCAATGTTCATTAGTAGGACTAAAAAAGTTTAATATTATTTACAATTTTAAAATGTACTTAAACTAAAAATAATATTAATCAAAGCGATCATTTTTCATTGAAGAAAGCAATGCTGGAACATTATGAGTTCAGTATCGTTGATTTAGTTAACCTTTTTTTCTTCTTAAATACTTTTATTAATAAAAATATCTCTCTCGCTTCTCGGAGAAGGCCTTTAAAACAAAACAGAACCAACTTTTACATTTTATTTTAATCTATTAATAATTATTTACATACGGAATGTTAACATGACAGACTTACTCCTAATAACTTAGTATCACTTGAATAAGGCACAATCGAGTAAGTACACACGTAAAATACAGGATTATGTACAATCACAATAAATTAAGGTAACGTTTGATAGTGTACACGGGCATTACGACGATGTAGACCGGCCTTAAATGAGCTCCACACTATAGATCCGTTTTGTAATATAAAACAAAGCTTCGTTAAAAATATGTTTTGAAAAACTATATAATGATAACTTGCATCTCAAATGTGAATATTATGTAACTGAATCCTTCGTTTGTACACACAGTGGGTCACACGAACAAACTTAATACGGTCAGAACTATAAGAGATATTAATGAAGATGGCGCCACGATCGTGCTTGAGCTTGGGTTCAACTTGGAGGATATGTTTTTGGTGACGTTTTTCACTTTATTGACGAATTTATCTAGGATGTCTGATCTAGGAGTGACGTCACAAGCTGTATGACTGATAGCCTTTAATACAGGAGCTGAGAAAACTCTAAAGTTTGTATCATTACTGTCCAGTTTAGCGTACATCCATATAGGCATACGATTCGATAAAACCCAGAGATTTTCATCGTAATCAACCTTAATGTCCGTTGGATAGATCATTTTGATGTCATCCATGTATATTCTTCCTTGGTTCTTCATCAGGTATTCCTTGTTGGTAGTTCTCCAGCAGGCTACGGCGTTCAGATTTACAAGAGAATAGAACAATACTCCAGTCTTCGGGTCTACAAAAGATGCACTGGATTGTGCATTCGGTCCTCTACTGCCAAGGACTTTGAAGGCGTCAAAATTCTGTTCAGCGACCGTCTTGTTCCTCAAGTACTCAGTAGAGACGGAAAACTCGTTGTTACTAGCCATTGGGTGGAAGTATATCGTGCTGAAATTGTCAGCGTTGGGCGCGGATATGCCGATGCCGAAGATGGCGTCCGTCCAGCTGAAGTTATAGCCTTTGACACTGAAATCACAGGCGAGAGGATCAGGATTGAAGAAATGATGAGTGATCCTCCAGGAATCGTTCTTCTCCCACGAATATACCACGATACCTGCCTTCCCCACGTCTCCAGCGTAAGCATAGGTTTTATCACAATCTATATCTTCTACAGCGATGTTCGCGAACCCTGATTCTTCCTTCACTTGGTCCTCAGGGAAGACGTACTTCCTCAATAGATTATCCGTCTTCAGATCATAAATGGATATAGATGGTGTGAATTTAGTCACATTAGTCTCGAGGCTGCCAATTTTTCCATTATCTAACACCCAAAGACGACCGCATCTGTCAGCTCTCACCCTGAACGGAGAGATGATGGCAGGTTTACCATCCACGAAGTTATGAGCCTCCCAATTTGGATACGGGATCAATTTAGGCGACTTCGTCGAGTTGTCTGTAATAAAAAAATAGTTTAAATATTAATATTATCTTTAAATTCACACGTATTATTTTATTGTTCTACATTTGGGACGGTTTTGTTACTATATAGTGAATGTATTCGCAGGCAGATGAGATCATATATTTTATTACAAACGATAGCCACAGACATTCGTTTTTAGAAAACCAATAACACTACAAAGTGTGAGAACTTTCATTTGTATGTTTTGTGTTGTTCGCTGAGTGATGGAGATCGAGACTCTCACAACAAACAGAAAACAGAATTAAAAGTTCTTGAAAGATATTTAAAAAGAAAATAGCAATTATATTTTGATATAAAAACATTCGTATACAATAACAAATATCGGACGTAATTTGCAACAAATATGAACCTATAATTTAAATTGTCAATTTCGTTGCTAAAATTGTCATGTGTAATTCGACCCTTGACCTTCAGTGACCTCTGCCTCTCAGTGACAGGTCCAGGTACACTGTAGAGGTGACCTGACTGATACGGTTGATTCCCTTGCATCACGCGATCATTAAAACAGAACCTCGACCGGTTTGTGATCCACGAACATGTAAGAACATGTAAGAAAATTAACCTCTGATGGCTCTAACCGAAAAGATATTTGATTCACTTGCAATTATAAGAAAAAAAACAATGCATGATATTATCTGTGATATAATTTATATGTCAGCTGTATAATTTAAACAATCAATATTACTTGTTTTTTAATTTGCATTGACATGTAATTTTTAAAATTTTATTTAATATATATACGAATTGTTCAACAGACGTAGATATAAAAATGTTTATTACGTATGTTTTGTATATTTCTAATTAAAATTCTAAGCATTTATCTTTTATTAAGGAAGTAATTAATGTTTCTTTTTTTTAAAAATCCATTCCTTTTTTTTCTTTATATAGTTTACGTATTAGTTACTGTCATGTCTAACCTTTCAAGTTGACATATGTCAAGCTGGCGGGAACTCCGTTTCTCCAGCGTGGGACTGTTATAAACAGCCGATCTCCGAACACCTCCAGGCCCATCGGTATGTTGTTCTCCGGTATGAAGCTGCCATTGTCTATGGCCTGCTGACGAGTCTCAGGCGAAGGAAACTCGAAATCTAATTGATTCCATTCATATATGATGTCTAATTGTTCCATACATGTGCTTAGATACACTAACTGCAGTAGAACCAGGGCTTTAAACACCCCCATCTCGATACTGAAATATAAATTAAATAACTGTTAAATACTTTATTTTTAATTAGTTTTGTAATGAGTTTTCCATATTATTTTTTATGACTTGTCTATTGCTGTTAGTCTTATTCGCTTTGACAGTTTCGCTGATAAGGAAAGACGTGTGAAATGTGTTGAAATATTAAAGAAATACATTTATATTATAAGTTTATTTCATAAGAAACCTAAAGTTAGAGAAGAAAAGGACATAAAATGTAGTAATTTATTTGAATATAATAATACAACAGCAGTTTCATTCAGCTTATATTTTGTTATAAAACAGCCATTTTGGATTTCATTTAGTGACCATTATCTATGTTGTCACAGCTAAAATTATTAATCATTCTATATCTCGCCATTGCCATATTTTGTAAATTTATTTCATTTAAAAATATTGTTTCCGTGTATAATATTCTAATACATTTATATTGTCTCTGGTATACATTACGACTGTGTGTCACGACCATGTTTAAAGCTTAAGTGATTCTTGCCAGCGTTTTTGCAAGAATTTTATAATTTTTGATTTGATCATTATTTATTTAAAAATATTCAACAATAACATGTTTTTGGGTTATTTTAATAAATGATATGTTTATCTTCAATAATTTTATATGAGTAAATGTGCTTATTAGATATATGTACGTATTTGTCAAAATCAATTAATATAGGTATATTAAAACATTAATTCCTTATGACCATAATTTCTTTTTATATCCTTACATCAATAATTTTTCTCACTCCAAATCATGATTGAGGGAAATTTCCTGAGTTTTGTCAAAGAGAGCCTCTACAAAGAGAAACAGAAAAAATATATAATTAAAATGAATTCCTTTTAACGACAAATTGTGAAATCTATATCATAAAATAAATGTTGACTAAAACCGTAAAGATTTTCTGTTCAAAGATAAAAATATCAAAAATTTTTAAAATGAAAACCGGTACTATGAAATTAAATCTAGTGCATCATATCTTCTGTAACAAACTCTAGTCATGGTGTTTGTTTTGTATGCATCGGAATATTGTATAAGGATGGGTTGAGGTGAACGACCTTGGGGCCGACCTCGAACCTCTACTGTACTGACGAGATACGGCTCGTATTATAATAAAAATTATATTACTATTTATATCTATATATAAATAGTAATATAATTTTTAAAGCTGACTTTGTAAAGCTGATTAAAAAATAATTACTAATTTATATTTGTGAAGATTTGTTATTTGTGCATATAGTTCTGGGACACCCTGTGTATATGTACCTATATATATATATATATATATATATATATATATATATATATATATATATATATATACTTCTCAAACCAAGTGACCTTAGCGAATGAGTGAGTAATACGGATCTAATTAGATCCAGGAATTTGTAATAGCGCTAAATAATTGTGAATTTAATTGCAAGATTTGCAAAAAGCATCTTATATTTAAATGACTATCAAATATCAATAATGGTTCCTTATTACTATATTTCTGTAAAGTTACGAGAAAAATAAATGTAATTTATATAAAAATTCGCCGCTAATTATTTCAGCATTCAAAATTTAAAAAATACAATATATGAAAACAAATATATATAGCTGTTAACAAGTCAATAAAGAGAAATTTCAATAAAAAAAAATATAAAACTTCATATATTCTGCCGACGGAAATGACGTCATTGGATGCCAGAATAAGGTTGCATACTCAATCATTGGTTACTAATGACCTAGGTTACCTAAAACAGTAAACTATTCACATTAAAAGCATGTTCGGTTTAATTATATTCTAAATAATAATTGGTATGATCGAGTCGTAAGTAGAAGCAAGGTCAGGTTTAAAAATACTATATTGAAGGTCACTGACCTTTCTATTTCCTTAATATATTTTTGCTACTTACAATTAATATTAAATATCATGATCTGATATATACTAAATATTAATAAGCTTAAAATTGGTCGGCAACAATTTTTAAAATCGTCGCTTTAATAATAGGTAGAACTATTTTTGGTTGTAATATTTTCATACAGTTAAAATTGCTTTAAAATTATTATTACAAACTCGATGTCAGTTTCCTAAGTTAACTTTGTATATTCAATTAAACAGTTTTTATTCATTTTGCAATGTGTTTCTTATTAAAACAATACAATCTAATTATCACGTTGTTTCTAGACGTCAATTAGCTTCTGATCATACGGATGTCTGTTACTGACCTTGTAATTTAGAATTGTTTTTTCATATTTTTTATTTGAATTTTGACGTTTTTGACAGAAAAACTTAAGCAAACTTTTTAGTATATTATGGTAGTTTAAATAGTCAAAATTATCAAGAGTTAATGTCCAAATAATTAAGTTTTTGTCCACAAATATTTGAGTACAATAAAGAAAGAACTCGAAACTGTATGTGTCTAGTTTTAAGACGCCAACTCATCCTAAGTTACAGTTGAGAAATAGCCATCAAGTATACAACTTGTCTTTTACTTGTAGACCGTATTCAATTGTAACGCTTTTTGCTATTGTCTATAGGAAAACTTCTTACAACTTTACGAGCAATAAAAATATATAATTGATTTTCAATACACAATACAATTTGTTCCATTCACATAGCGTCCTTGAAGCGAGGAAAGGAAAATAAATTCTTCCCGGATTTCATAAAAATATGAAAAGTATGAGACAGTTATTATACGGCGACAGAATATGAAATAAATATTAAATTATATTAATAGTCTATTGTATAACAATAATATAATATGTGGCGTTATATTTAATCTATGGGAGTGCTTCATGGCGTACCTAAACAAATATGATTAATTATCCGTGTCTGCAATTATAAATATAGTTAACCTTTTACGTTAATTGAACCTTTTTCGTTAATTAATTGAATGTGGCAGAATGATTACAGTCCATAGACAAGTTTTGATATATAATTTAATTAAAATGGAACATTTAAATTTTGACGTCTATCTTTAATTACAAGTCAGTCTACGTTTGACATATTGTCTATGGTTTAAATATTCTCATTTTTACCCCAGGAGTTGCTACAAAGCCTAAGTATGTTGAAGTATATAAGTATTATAAGATAGTTACCTTATTTAAATTGTAATTTATACTACATAAAGCCTCAATGTCCGTCTGTTAATGAGCACTCATTACCGTCGTGTTACATATAATATTATATCACAATATAGTCAATCATACTTAACACAACCTTTCTTCGGACCTTCGCACAGATATTAGGATAAAAAAGCGACATTTCCACATAAATAACACACCGTATAATACTCCTTATGTAGTTGTAATAGCGAGGATATTAGTATGAAGGTGTTTCCGCGTGGTGTGCGCGGGCGCGGCCGTACCCCGGCCCACCCTGACCCAGTAATGTCTGAGGCCAGAGTTCCATATGATTGCTTTAAAATTATTACGTGCAGAATGTTACTTTATCATTTACTATGGGGACGGTAGTACATTTTCGTATCGTTGATATAATTGGCAATTTTTTAATATAAATTGATATCACGACAGAGCTGGTGTGGTCGAGTCCGTGAAAATTTTGTTATAGAAATGAGTAGTAAGGTTGTAAAGGATATTTAAGCTTTACAATTTGTAATTAATACAACAATACTAGAATAATTCATATAATATACATAGTAACGTAAACTTCACAGTAAATGTTTGACGAAATAAAATAATACCACTCCTACTAAAACTAGTTCTAATTTCTTTTGTATTTGGTCGTGATATTGAAAACTATAAAGAAAGCTTTTAATAATGAACTATATAGGTACTAACGGAGTGCTCAAACTAATTAGTAAACTATTCTCAGTAAACTTAACTTTTATATAATACTTAACTTATTATGTACGTCTAGTGTAATGTTATTTGTCTCTTAAACCATCAATCGTCATAGTTAATCCATCATTATGTAGCGGTAGACATAACTTTTAATTAAGATATATTTCCGTGTTTCACCTACTTTTGTTACTATTCTAATTTCCAACTCGACATTCCTATAATTATGTAACATTTATCAAGAAAAGTATTACATATGTTTAACATACATATATCTAGCGTAATAAGATCTAAGACTTTCGTGAGTTTTATTCATTTAAATGAAACTAATATTTTTCGGATATACTACACGTGCTTTATATTTGTAAAAAAAACTACATACACCCGACGTTTTCACATTCATATCTCGTCTGTCCGTGATCACGGTTGCTGCAAAGTAACCGAAACGTCGGGAGTATGTAGGTTTTAAAAATAATAAAAAAAACGCGTAGTAATCCGAATATTAGTTTCATTTAAAATATATCTAGCGACTAAAGTCGTAAAAAAAATTATCCGTAGTACATAAGTATTTTAATATCATTATTTTTGTTTGATTTTTAAATTTCATATATACATTCAATATTAATTGGTGTAACTGCGTTTTTCGCTTTACATTAGCGGGTTTTGTAAATAAGTTAGCCACGGTCTAATTACTGCGACCACTCCGCGATTTATTACTAGCATTTCGTATATAAAATAATAACATTTATCGCAAAAATAGGCAATACTATAAAAAATTACATATATGTATTAAGGATTTTTACCAATATTTTTAACAATAACTTATTTTTCGCTGAATTGAGATTTAAATCGTCCGAGTGGCCATTTTGATTTTGAAACTACATTATCACGATAATATTTACATTCCGTTTTACAAATTACAATCATTTTTTAGAATAACAAAAGATAAATTAAAATGAAACCTACAAAGTTTGTATATTATAATATTTTTCAATAATTGAATTAAATTACAAAAATACAATGGTTTTATTATATATTAAACAAATTATAAAGCTTCCATGTCGGTCTCACTGGTAAGTAATTATTATATTTTTAATATAGAATTCAAACAATGAATTCCAACGAAACGTTCATAAGCAGATCACACATACTTGTACGCTTTAAAATAAAGATGACTTTGAATTGTTTCAAGGCTGACATTAA